GGCGACTCTGCCAGTTGAACGATGAGCTCAGCGAAGGTCAGTGCCACACAACACGTTGCACGTCACGTGCAGTCGCTGGACACACTGCATCCCGTGTCTTGGTGTGTTGTGTGTGTTGCGTGTTGCTGTGTGTGTTGTGTGTGTTGTGTGTGTTGTGTGCATGATATCGCTTTCTCAGTGTCTCGTCTTTGTGATCCCCTGGCTGCCTTCTGTTGTGTTGTGTTGTTGTTGCTCTTTTTGTGTATCCCATTCCGTGTGCTTCCGTTCTGATCGTGACGCTCGTGCCCACACGACGCTGGGTTCATCCTTGCTGCTCTCTGTTGCGTGTTCTTCGTCATTGCCATCGTTATTGTCATCATCATCGTCGTCTTCTTCTCCTCACCTCTCTGTCTGTGTCTCATCATCTTCACCCTCGTCTTCACCCTCGTCTTCACCCTCGTCTTCACCCTCGTCTTCACGCCAACTCCATGACTCTTCCCGCTCCATCCCCGCCGTTCGAACCCTCCACTTCCCCCTTTGTGATGCGTGCATCCCACTGAATGCCCCTTCCTTCAACTCCTGGCCACCCTGCTTCTTCTTCATCGCCTGCCCCCACACCTCAACTCTGCCGTGCCCACTGTCTCCGTGCCAATGCTGTGGTCAAACAACCTCTCAAATCTCCCTGCTCTCTTGCTCCACAACCCCATATTCCACCGTCAACATGCTGCCGCTACTGCTGCTACCACTTGATTCCTGTGCTTCTCCTCCTCCTCCTCACAACACTCTTGATGATCCATGGCTTCCTTTGCCTTCTTCTCACTTGCTGTGACAGCGCGCTGCATCTGAAGGTGCCTCACTCTCACCCTCACTCTCCCTTTCTCGTCTCCCTTGAGCCACTTCTCCTGCTCCTTTTGATCCGTTTGGCTGCGTTCCCGGTGCCCCACGACCCAGCACCACGCAATGACACTCACAACATCCATCTACCGCTTGCTTGTGTTTGTGTTTGCGACCCACTTTCAACAGGCATTCCTCAGGAACCCTCCGAAGGCGACATAACCAAGAAAGCCCGAATGGCGGCCAAACCCTCCCGTGTTATCCACATCCGCAACCTGCCGGACTCGGCCACTGCTGCCGACGTGAGTACTCACGACTGCTTTGTGTGTGTCTGTGTCCGTGTGTGTGTGTATGTGTCTGTGTCTGTGTATGTGTATGTTGTGCTGTGTTGTGCTCTTGTGTGCTGTGCTGTGCTCTTGTGTCCGCATGTGTGGTGTGTCGTTGTTTCTGTCTCGCGTTTGTGCGCCACACTCTCGCCTCGTGCGTTACAATCAATACCTGCATTCATTCCTTCATTCCAACCCCCGCCCTGCTATGTATTGGACCTGCAGCTGCTGCCGCACTTGATGAAGTATGCAACGCCCTCCAATGTCATTATGATGACCAACAAGCAGGCGCTTGTTGAGATGCCCTCTGTGGAGGTTGCGTCGCGTGTCATCGACTCGGAGCCCACCATTCGCATCCGCGACAGTCAGGCCTACCTCCAGTTCTCCGAGCACCAGGAGCTCGAGGTGTGTGTGTGTGTGTGTGTGTGTGAATATGTGTGAGTATGTGCGCAGATGCGTTTGTTTTGTGCTTCCTTCGTGTTGCGCGTTTGTTTGTGCATGCAACAACAGTTCCCCGTTCTTGCTGGCTTGGTCTCATGAGCAAGCACCTCACCTCAATACATTCTCCTCACCCACCCTTCATCTTTTTCTTTCCCTTTTGTCGCAGCGTGTGCAAACACGCGACACAAACCCTCCAAGCAAGTGCCTGATTGCCAAGGTCACCAACCTTTCCTACTCCATCTCCCTCCAGACCCTGCATTCCCTCTTCTCCCGCGCTGGCCGAGGTCCGTTTTGCGTGTGTGTGTGTGTGTGTGTGTGTGTGTGTGTGTGTGTGTGTGTGTGTGTGTGTGTGTGTGTGTGTGTGTGTGTGTGTGTGTGTGTGTGTGTGGCTATTGCCATGGCTGTTGTTCACTTTGCTGTCCGTCCCCTTGGCGTTCATTCATTGAACTAATTTTTCCTCCTCCCCTGCTCTGCCTTTCTCCGTGTGCGCAGTGGACAAGATGGTTTGCTTCATGAAGCAGTCGTTTCTGCAAGCCCTCGTGCAGATGGACAGCGAGGCCTCTGGTAAGCGCGCGCACGTAGCGATGGAGCGTTTGGGCGTTGGGGTTGGCGTGGTGTCGATGTGATGCAGTCCCATCTGCGAGCACTTGTGCGTTGTGTCATGCCGTCATGAACAATCCGTCTTTTCCTATTCACTTGTGCGTTTCCTTCCGCTCTTCTGTTGCACATGCTTGTGCTGACACCACCCGCTTTCATCCCTGACACTGCCAACCATTGTTGATGACCAACAGCTGCGCTGGCGCGTCGTATGCTGAACAACCAGGACATTTACTCCGGCTGCTGCCACCTCGCCGTTGAGTTTTCGAAGCTCAATGAGGTCACCGTCCGCCAGGACAGCGATCCAGCCAGGTACTGGTGGTAGTGTTGTTGTTTCTTGTTCTTGTTGTTTCTTGTTGTTGTTCTTGTTCTTGTTCTTGTTCTTGTTGTTCTTGTTGTTCTTGTTCTTGTTTCTTGTTGTTGCTGCTTCTGCTGCTGTATCTGCTTCTGCATTGTTTGTTTGAAGCAAGGGCCGTGTGCGACACCTGACACGTGTCATGGGAAATGCTACGTCTGTGTCCTGATGTGTTCCACTCGCTTGCATGCATCACAGGGCCCGCGATTTTATCCGCAGCCCGCTCATGGACGGCGAGACGCTGCCCAACACCCCCATCAACCTCCAGCCGTAAGCATTTTGCACACGTGTGTGTGTGTGTGTGTGTGTGTGTGTGTGTGTGTGTGTGTGTGTGTGTGTGTGTGTGTGTGTGTGTGTGTGTGTGTGTGTGTGTGGCAGTTGATTGCGGCTCAGCCACTGTTCCGCTGCGCTCAAACCATCCTCGCCTGTGCTCCATTGTGCTCGTGCTCATCGTTCGCTTTTTGCGTTCACTGTGTTTCAGGCAACAGCAGCAGATGATGGGCAACACGGGCGCCATGAACGTGATGGCAACCATGCAGGGCATGTCGCCGGCTATGGGCCCGATGGGCGGCGCCATGGGAGGTGCGGTGGTGCAAACACCCCACCCGTGCTGCACACATGGTGCATGTCACGCTGTTCAGCTGCCTCATCTTTACGCATGCATCCGCTCTATTGACACTCATGCAAGCGCTGCTCCCGCATGACACACACACACCCTCCCCCACTCCACCCACCTGCAGGCCAAATGCCGCAGGCGCAGGCCCCTGGGATGCCGACAATGGGTATGGGCTCGGCAATGGGCATGCAGATGGCACCAGGCATGCCGGCCACCACCCCAGGATGCGTCGTCCTCGTCAGGTACACGCTTTCTTTCTTTGTTTCGCGGCCCCGCCTTGCCCCGCCTGTACGGCACGCTCCCACTTATTCGTATGCCCCTTGCTTGCTTTTTTTTTTTTCATGCACATTGCCACCTGTGTGCACGTTGGGGCCTCCCCCCCGACCTTCTCCTCACCGTTCATCGTTGTTTTCTGCATGTGTGTGCGTGCGCGTGTGTGCGTGTGTGTACTGTTCAGCAATCTGAACGAGGCCACCATCCAGCCGGACCACCTCTTCATGCTCTGCGGCGTCTACGGCGACGTCACGGTAGGCTGTGTGTGTGTGTGTGTGTGTGTGTGTGTGTGTGTGTGTGTGTGTGTGTGCCCCTGCTCTTGTGCTCGCAATGGTTTGGTAAGCCTCGCCCTTGCTACGTCTTCCCACGTCTTCCCTCACAACAACAACAACCCTGCCCCTCCCTCCTTCTCGCCCTCTCTTCTTCACCACCACCCCAACAACTCTGCAGCGAGTGAAGATTATGCACAAGAACCGGTCGCGTGCGCTGGTGCAGTTTATGCTGCCGCAGCACGCCGCCACAGCCATCTCCAACCTCAACGGCCTGCCGTTCCAGGGCAACCAGCTGCGCCTGGTGCTGTCCAAGTTCCCCGAGGTTGCCCTCCCGCGCAACGACGAGGAGGCGCAGCTGACCAAGGACTACTCCAAGTCCAAGATCCACCGCTTCAAGAGCCAGGAGAGCTACAAGCACATCCACCCGCCCTGCCCCGTGCTTCACCTCTCCCGCCTCCCGGCAGAGGCAAATGACGTCTATGTCACGCAGCTGTTTGTCACGCACGGCTTCCAGCCCAAGCGCGTGCACATGTTCCCCGAAGACAAGAAGATGGCGTTTGTTGAGCTGAACAGCGTGCAGGAGGCGGCAGAGGCGCTGGTGGCCCTGCACAACAAGATGCTTGGCGACAACCTCTACCTCCGCGTCGCCTTCTCCCGCCACGCCCACCTTTCCTGAGCTGCTGCTGCTGTTGTGTTTTGTTTGTGGGCGGTGCGTCGTTGCTGGTGTCAGCCCTCCTCTCGGGTCTGGTGTCGCTGCTGTCATCTGAATCGCTCTGTTTGCGTGTGCTGACTCCACACGTCGTCTATGGTGTGCTGACCCCACACGTCGTCCATGGTGTGCTACCCCGTTGCTGTCCCCCCTTGTTCCCCCCCCCCCCCTCCTCGCTGTCTCTAATCATAAGTTCTCCTCCCTCGTCATTCTCCTCTTCCCCGTGTACACGACCATGTGTGTTGCGTGTGTTGGCAGTGGCGCTGGTGTTTTTGGTGTTTGTGCTTGTTGCGTGTTCACGTCTTGTTTGTGTTCCCTCCTCGTGTGCGTTGCCGTGCTGCTGGCACACACGCCTTGTTTCTGTCCCGCGTGCATGCTTGTTGCTGAGAGTGTGTTGTTTTTTCGTTTGTTTGGTTGCCTACTTCTTTCTCGAGATTGAAGTTAGCTCTTCTCCTTCCCCTTCCTCTCCGTTTTGTTGTTGCGTGTATCGTCCCGCTTCTTCTTGTTCTTCCCCCTCTTGCTTGTGCCAGTATCCCATACAATACACAACCTCTGTTGTTGTTCACAGCAAGTGCGCAATGGTGTGTGTGTGTGTGTGTGTGTGTGTGTGTGTGTGTGTGTGTGTGTGTGTGTGTGTGTGTGTGTGTGTGTGTGTGTGTGCGTGTGTGTGTTGGCTCTTCGCTGAGGTGGTACGGTACCAAGCTGCTGAGATGCTCACATGCAGTGAACGACGCGCTCCACTTGAGACAGGAACGTCGAAACCCTGTGTTGTGCATGTGCGTGTGATTGGAAGGAACTTGAGCACAGGAAACAACAACAACAAAATCAACAGCAGCAGCAGCAGCCCAAGCAACAACAACAACAACAACAACAACAACAACACACACACACACACACACACACACACACACACACACACACGCGCGCGCGCGCGCGCGCGCGAACACACAAAAAACAGCCAACCCCAAAGCACCCCCCCCCCAATCCTTTTCTTCCTTTCTCACTGTCTCTCCACACCAAATCGTACTTTTCCATCCACTCGTCTGGGTAGTGGTTGTAGAGAGCAGCGTGGCCGCCGTTGTCCACAATCCACAGCCCCTTTGGGTCGCGCGCTTCAATATACAGCTCCTGCGTGTGCCACACGGGCACAGTCGTGTCTGCCCGGCTGTGCATGAGCAGCAAGGGGCGGGGCGCAATGTCGTACACGCAGTCGACGGGCTCGCGGCGGAAGCTCGGGTCGCGCAGGGACACAACAAAGTACATGATGGCCACGAGCGCGAGGCGATATGGCAGGAGCAGCACGTCCAAGTAGCCGGGCAGGCGGAAGTACTGCCGGGCAATGACGCGAAAGAGCTCGCGGCGGGACGCAAACGGGTTCTCGGCGATGACAGCGTTGATGTACATGCTTGACGCCGGGTCGCGCACGCGTGCGGCCGCCATAATCCCCGCCGACGCGCCCGTTGACGTGCCGCACACCACCACTGCCTTGTGGCCTTGGTCCTCGCGCAGCCAGTGCGCCATGCTGCACACGTCGTCGCACTCGCGCGGGCCGTAGTTGATGCCGTGCCCCTCCCCGAAGCTGAGGCCGTGCTCCCGCAAATCGCACAGCAGCAGCGTGTAGCCCTTGTGGTGGAGGTCTCGCGCATGCCGCAGAAACGCACGCCGATCGCGCCCTGCGCCGTGCACCATGATCACGGCCGTCGTGCTCTCGGCTGCACGACGCCGCCGGTGTGCATCGCCCCCATCTGCATGAACATCCTGTGCCAGCTGCTTGCTGCCTTGCTGCGTGCGATCCTGGCCCTTGTCGTCTTGGCTGTTGCCGCCGCGTTTGCTGCCGTCGCCTTTGCTACCGTCGCCCTTACTACTGTCGCTGCTGCCCGTGTTTTCGCCGTGGTCGTCGCCGTGGTCGTCGCCGTGGTCGTCGCCGTGGTCGTCGTTGGAGCTGTTGTCAGGGCGCCAGAGATCGCGGGCGGTTGGCGGAACGTACCAGCCCCTGAGGTAGGCGTGGGTCGGCTGGAGCGTGTCCATGTCCAGGACGGGGACGATGACATCCTCGTACTCGATGCCAAAGTCGGCCTTTGGGTCTGTCTTGATGCCGCCCCAGACGATCTGGGCCGCGCCGCGCACTTCGGACGTGAGCAGATCGTGGGTTGGCCCTTGGTACACGCGGAACGGTGGGTGCTTGACCATGTGGGTGACGACGAGGGAGACGACCCCCCAGACAAACATGGTGGCGAGCACAAACGTGGCCACACTTGCGTTTCCTTCCAGCCAAGCGCACAGGAGGCCAAACGCCAGCGACAGCGTGATGGTGCCGTACGTCACCAGGGGCGCCAGCGCAGGCAGCAGCACCAGCTTTCCGCCCGGGTTTCCCAGCTCGTCCATCTTGGTGTTGTCACTGTCGTTGTTGTTGGGTTTGGCTGTAGCGGCAACAGTGGTGGCAGAGGCAGTAGTGGCAGTGTCAGAAGTGGTAGGCGCCTCGTGCCCTTTCCCTTTCGTCCGTCGGCGCGAGCGCATTGTGTGGTTCATGTGCTTGCACTCACAAACAAAGAAGAGCAAGGCGGTGTGGGTGAGTTGTGTGTTCGTGAAGGTGCTGTGAGGACCGTTATATTTTACCACCATTTTACCATTTTACCACCATTTTACCACACGGCCATTACATTTTGCCCACTGCCGCAAAATTCAAGCTTGAACGTGCTTGGACGAACCAGCGAAAAGCAGCAGCAACGCATCCCATCGGCGGTTACTGCCACAAGCCAAGATGCAGCGTGGTGGTGGCGATGGGGATGGGGATGAGCCGGCAGCGAAGCGACCACACCTGCTGTTTGGTGGTGTTGCCTTCTCCGAGGATGAGCGCGATCGCATCCAAAAGGCCCTCAACATGAAACTGGGTGCCGATTTCATCAGTTACCGACCAGGCGCCGGCGGCAACGAGGTGTGTGTGTGTGCGTGTGTCTGTCTGTGTGTCTGTGTGTGTGTCTATGTGTGTGTGTGTCTATGTGTGTGTATCTATGTGCGTGTGCGTGTCTGTGTGCGTGTGCGTGTCTCTGTCTCTGTCTCTGTCTCTGTCTCTGTCTCTCTCTCTCTCTCTCTCTCTCTCTCTCTCTCTCTCTCTCTGTCTCTGTCTCTGTCTGTGCGCACAAAGTACACGCACATAAAGACCCACATGTGTACTCGGACACATACACGCACGCTCGTTCCTTCCCTCTGCTCATCGCTTGGCATACCTTGGTGTCTCATTCCCGTTCCTCGGGTCACTTGTGCTTCCTTCGCCATCCCCCACAGATTGCGTACGTGCAGCAGTGGATGGTGTTTGACATTGCAAATCACACGTTTGGATTCAATGGGTGGAGCCGGTCCATTCGCGCCGTCAACATCGACTACGCCGACAAGAAAGGGAGCAAGTATGAAGTGGGCGTCTCTGCCATCATTCGCGTCACCCTCAAGGTCAGGCTGCAAATTCGGGTGGTCGTGTTTGGCGATAATGGTGGTGGCCGTGTTTGGCGGTGGGTACACTCTGACAATGGTATGGATGGAGCACGCCCAGCATTCCCAGCCTGTGCACTCCATGAATTGGTGCTGGGTTGTGTGTAGACCATTCGACTTGCGCTTTTTTGTTGGTTTCAAAGCGCTCACTCATCTGCACTGCCGTTCAGGATGGTGCTTATCATGAGGACATTGGGTATGGCAATGCCATCATGCCCACGCGCCACCAAGGTGTGTGTGTGTGTGTGTGTCTGACTGTGTGTGTGTGTGTGTGTGTCTGACGTGTGTGTGTGTGTGTCGGTCTGTGTGTGTGTGTGTGTGTGTGTGTGTGTGTGTGTGTGTGTCGGTCTGTGTGTGTGTGTGTAAAATGGTGGCTGGTATGCATGAATGTTGTGAATGCATGAGTGTTATGTATGCATGAATGAATGTTGTGGCATCTCAGTAATGTAACATCCACGTTTCCCTTCTCCAAATCCCACCTTTGTCGCTTTGTGTGCGATGGAACCCACAGCCATGGAAAAGGCCAAGAAGCAAGCTGTCACGGATGGCACAAAGCGCTCGCTCAAGTAAGTGATCGGAGACATGTGAATGCAACCTCCGTTGTATGATGAGGGAGGGGGGATGCTCCCTCGACACATCGCCCACGATACAGTCTCACTCTGTGTACGCCTTTTATTTTGTGTGCTGTGCATTGACCATGCTGTTAGGATGTTTGGGCAGATCTTTGGACAGTGCTTGAACGACAAGGATTACCAGCGGTTTATTCGCCCCCACGCCAAGAAGAAGGTTCTTTGTGTTGTTTTGAGGCTGTGACAGTGGTGGTGGTGGTGGTGGTGGTGGTGGTGGTGGTGGTGGTGGTGGTGGTGGTGGTGGTGGTGGTGGTGGTGGTGGTGGTGGTGGTGGTGGTGGTGGTGGTGGTGGTGGTGGTGGTAATTAAAAATTGACACTCCGTCCAGTTGGTGGTCCACCACAAAACACACGTATAACTTACTGACGACACACACACACACACACACACACACACACACACACACACACACACACACACACTCATTCACACGTTCACATGCGCTTTCTGCCTTGCACCCTCTCACTCCCGCTTTACCCCCCCCCCCCTCTTCACACACACACGTGCACTTAGCGGGAGGCTGTGGATTACTCGGGCAACCTGTTTGATTCGAGCGCACTGGTGGGTGGCATGGACACGTCCATGTACGCGTCCCAGATATCACTGCCATCGACCCCCGCACCCTCGGTTGCGTCTTCGTCGACAGGGGCGGCCCGCAGCGCAACGACGGTGCTGAAGGAGCACGAGAGCAGGCAGAGCCTGAGGCAGGAGTTCCACCAGCACTTGGAGCGCATGCAGTCGTCAACACCCGCCGCCACCTCCACACATCACCAACAACAACAGCAACAACAACAACAACAGCAGCAGCAGCAGCAGCAGCAGCAGCAGCAGCAGCAGCACCCAAAGTTCAGGTCTGCTCGGTCACTGTCCACGTCACCTCAGCGCGGCGGTGGCCGTGTGAACGGGCGACCAACTGGTTCGCATACGACAGCCACATCGCCATCATCATCAACAACACCAGTGGCAACAACGACAGCAGCAGCAGCAACATCGCCCTCTTCAAGAACTGCACACAGCCATCGTCGACACAGCAGTCGGGGGCCCACGTCGACATCATCCCCTTCCTCTTCATCATCGTTGTCGTCGTCATCGTCGGGAGCATCGCCAAACGGAAAGCAAGCCAGACGCCACCACCAGCACCAGCAGCAGCAGCAGCAGCAGCAGCAGCAGAGCAGCGGGGGTAACAGGCGGCCACAGACGCTACGCAACAGCACAAACACGCGCGCTAACAGCGGCGTGCGGAATAATGGCAACGGCGGCGCGTGTGCGTCAACCAAGCCCACCCCCAACACATCAACAGCACCAACAGCGGCAGCAGCAGCAGCACAGGTCAAGGCGGAACACAAGGACCGCCCTCCGCTGCGGAGAAGCAAGAGCGACCAGGACGACTTTCTCCCAGATGGTGGGTCGTGTGGGCTGTGTGTGTGGGGGGGGGGGCTGTGTGTGTGTGTGTGTGTGCGTGCGTGCGTGCGTGCGTGTGTGTGTGTGTGCGTGCGTGCGTGCGTGCGTGTGTGTGTGTGCGTGCGTGTGTGTGTGTGTGTGCGTGCGTGTGTGCGTGTGTCTTTCTCTTTGTGGTCAACTTGTTTGTTCCCGTGTTTCCTTGGTTTCCTTTGGTTCCTTTGTTCGTTTGTTACCCATGCCCGCTTGCTTCCCATTCCAACCTCATCACACACAAAACAAGCGCGCGCGCGCACACACCTTTGACACGGCCAACCACAGACCTGGAGGAGATGTTGATGGCTGCGGAATCGTCACATCAGGCGCAGAGCATGTAGCCACACCCTGCGCTGGTCTGTGCACATCCCATCCCATCACGCCAAATTGCTTGTGCTTGTACTGATGTTTGTGCTGTATTATTCCGCATGCATGTGCATTTTGTTTGGTTGGTTTATGCTTTACGTACATATGCTGCGCACATCATACTCAAGCAAGCAAGAATAAACGACGATTGTACAATGCTTCAACAAAAGTTGCTTTTGCGCGTGAGCGGCAACACACAACTTCAAAGCAAGTCATCAGACACACACGCACACGCACAACTGCAAGTCGAAAGG